AGGCCAACACATTGTTGAGTACCGAATATAAATATAGTTTTTTCCAGTCTGTGTTCGTGATTTCTCGGAACCATGGTCGGATTCAAGACTTCAGTTTTATTTTGTAAATACTGCGACAGTGTTTCTATTTGTTTGGTCAGAGCTGAAATTTCAAGGTTAGCTCTATCCAATTGTAGCTGTAGATCTTCAATTTTTTTTTTTAGGGATATTGTTTTATTTTCGTAGTTAGTGTTTGAAGAATAAATAGGTGATGATGGGGTAGATGTTGTGCAGTATGCCAAGGAGTGCCTCTTCTTTTTGATACTGCTACGAAAACTAGCGTCTGGCAATGAAGCAGATTGACATAAAGATTTTAGCATATTATTTTCTGCAGTTAACTTGTTTACTTGTTTTTGAAGATCATTGTTTTCTAGTAATGTTTTATCAAGCTCAGATTGTGTGCTAACGAGTTCGCCAGTCAATTGGGATATAGTATCTTTCATTTCTAACAATGATATTAAATCTAAGGTTAAATGTAAAGGTTTAGTTTTGTGAAAGTATTTTTAATGATAGGAGAAAGTTTTATTTGTTTCGTAGTTCCATCTAGTCATATTTCTATTAATTTTATTTTCTCCTATGTGGTTGCACATAGGAATCTTTCTCTAGAATACACACTGTAAAATTTATATCGTTTTTGTCCCTAAGAAAAATGGTTCTGTCTTGGTAATGAAATGGTTTTACAAAGAAATAAAATTTTTAAAACAAAAAATAACTGGTGAACCACAAAAGCGCATACGAACTCACTCATAGGACATTATCAAAACATCACGCCATTTAATTCTCGAAGTAGCATTACTCGTCAGGTGGCACAAATTTACTACACAATATTTAATGTTCCATATTTTAAAAAATTGAAATCTTTATTTTTTATGTTTTTACTTTATGCATCAAAACATCATACAAACATCATACATCTTATGGCAGGCTGTTTTGCCGCGGAATGGACACGAAATAAATTGTATGGTGTAGTATATTATTTTAATAAGTAACTTCATTATAAAATGTCGTAAATGCATTTACAAATACGAACACATACTTATTTCGTCGTAATTTGAGTCCGCAGCATATAACCAAACAGCTAGCCTCCTTGTGACGCCACAACATCAACCCTGAATGAAGTTTGACACGGAAGGAGAAAAAAATACACTAAAATTATAAGAAAACTATGTTCTCAGAACTATATGACTTGCCTAAAGCAAGAAGGAAGATTAAAATAGAGGGTTTCTTTATAAGTCCAAGTACGAGGAAACCAATTTCGTAATTACACTAACGCGCAGCACTTTGAGGACCGAATTCCTGGAAAAGACAAAGTTATCAAACATTTATGTGGAATAACTCATAATTCTACTTACTAACGTGAGTCAACATCATCAATATGCTGCTGACCAACTTCTCATACAGAGAAGGTTTAAATATTAATCGCCACGCTTGTTCAATGAAATTATAAGCTTAGGTTTCCTCACATTGTTTTCCATCACAGTTAGTCTGTGGTATCTAAATAATCTTAGAAAGTGTACATACATATAACTCGGAAAATGTCACGTTGGTACTTGCTGTTGGCAGGTTTCAAAACCGCACCCTATGCATGAGACGCGGGCGTTTTAAACTGTCAAACACCAAGCGGTCACCGGTGACCGCAACCTATTGTTCTATAATTGTGTCTACAAAACCGGTACTCGACGAGTTAAACCTTTACCACCTGGGCCACCACGACTATTCATCTGACGTGAGTAAAAACGAGTAAAATTATTACCAAATAACTAAAATTCGCGGGTTACTCAAATGAATATACTGAGAAAAGCTCTACTAGTTTCGAACCACAGGGGGGTTCTTCCTCATGAACAGCGTGCGTGATCTTCCTCATGAGCAGCCTACTGATTCAGTAGGCTGCGCGATATCGCCACGAGCATTAATTTTGTATGTCTCACGATAGTTATTATAAAACAAAATTATTACCAGTATAATTATTTCTGCTGTCACGTGAAACTCGGACACAAGAAATCAAATTCTTCAATTTTCTGACCAAAATTTTAGTCGATAAGATGTTACAAAAAAGCAAAGATTTCCATTAGCGCACAGTTAATATAAATTTTAAAAACATTAGTAGTGTATGTCATACACCCTCACAAAATCTTATAATGTGATCAAACTCGAATTTTTTGACTTTTTGACATTCAAAACGCAAATTATCTACAAAAGAAACCACAGACCAAATAACTCCACCATTTTTTCTTTACACGACGCCATATTAACCCGTAAACACCGACGCAATGGCAAAGAATGCGATTAAGGGGTATGTTAAAGTCATGCGTAGGTCATAATGACCGCACGCGGCGACCGACGTGTTAATCTGACCACAAGGGTCGCATTAATATAGCTTAGGACACTGACACAACATTTTTGGGTAAATCATACGTTTACCCGAAATTTCATACAAACACATGAGAGTTGTATATTTTTATTTTAGATATTTTGAAAAATCGTTTAATAGTGTCAAAAATGTGTTGCTTTTAACAAATCGGGTGTTCTTTTTTTATGCTGTGTTATTTTACTATTAAAAAATCGGGTATTCTTTTTTAAACTGTCAAACACCAAGTGGTCACCGGTGACCGCAACCTATTGTTCTATAATTGTGTCTACAAAACCGGTACTCGACGAGTTAATGTTACGTAACACACACTGCTTTATTTATAGATACAGGGTGTAAAGAAACATCAACAAAAACATGTGATGGTAAAAAAGTCAAATTAAAAAAAGGAAAGGTTTTTTTTTAAGTAATATTAGTTAAGTTGATTATAATTAGGTCAAGGCTGATGTTGCTTGAATAACACTAATTTTTTATTGTTAGTCCTATGTGATAAAAGGTGATCCGACTGCAATACCGTATTTAGAGGTATACTGCACGTGTAGACTCTTTTCTTTAAGAGAAAAAAAAAAACGAAAAATAGAAAAACAGGAACGCTCAACTATATGCTGAGCTGGAGGCCCTTTTGGCATGACCATGCGCAAAGTAATATTATTATTTTGTTTATTTTATTTTATTTGTACATTCAAAATTCTGTTAATACCTGTCGTATTATTATATTGTTACACTGTGATGTTTATTGTTCTGATCTTTTAAGATTATTATTAGTATTTTGTTTATGTACCTATCTGTATTTTTATTTTTTTTAAATCTTCTTTTGTGTGCTTGCCAAATTGCTAAATAAATGTTTTTTCTTTCTTTCTTCTTTCTTTAAAAAGAATTCGAAATATTCTTTTCCAGACTGCAGCTGTAGCCAAATTGACTAAGCGCTTGTCAACATGTAGAATAGAAAACCAAATTTTGACACTTGTCAGTGTCATCCTCATACATTTTGATTTCTACTCTCTCTGTAGACAAGCGGTAAAGTGGCGTTTGGCTAAAGGCACTGATCGGAAATCGCGTTTGCGACCGCTCTGGACAAATGAAGCAGTCGTAAAACACATCGACATAATTTTACCCTAGGTAAAACCTTACCTTTACTTCATACCTGATAACATTTAACGTCTCAATTACCTATATAATAAACTGTAAACTATAATATAACCATAAACGAAGTCATGATACTAAACGTTGAACCCTTTTAGTTAACACTTCCAGTGACCGCAGTTTTATTATTTAACTGTTAAAGGGTTAACAGTTTAAGTTGTTTTTTATTATCAATTTGTTTTACGGTCATATTAAACGTGGTTTGTGACATTTTCTTCCCTTGTGACAGTTTTAGGGTTATTCGGAAAGCCTTCGCAATTCTTGTTTTCTCCTATGGGATTGGCTGTTGTGGAGATATTTGGGTATCCTTCAAACTTTGTATTTGTTTGAAAACTAAAACTTATTACTTATACAATATAATATGTAGGTGTTGTATAATGTATATCTATGGTTATATTTTACATTATCTACATCTTTTTAATTTGTCTATTTTACTAATCAAGTAGTCGCAAACGATATTGTAAATAAAGGACCTCGAGTTCGATTGTCGAATCAAGGAAAATAGATTTTTTTTAATCGTTACCCCACACTAGGATTTTCTCCTGTGTCGTGGGTGCGTTTACAAACATACAAGTTCACATACACATGACACCCAGACCCGGAACAACAATCTTTGGATCACACAAAGAATTGTTCCGTGCGGGATCGAACTCGCGACACGTTGGGCGGCAGTTAGTTGCCCAACCACCGGGGCATCCGTGCAGTCAAAATTAAAAAAAAAAATTACTAGTTCAAGTTCTACTACAAATGATTAAATCTATACGATAACTTAGATAATAGGTATGTAGGTACGTAGCAACTAATTAATTGTTAGGCACTAATAATAATCATTTCTGTGGTGAAATAATGAAACCACAAATTACTGTGCGAAACCGCAAAGTATCATATATAATAATCATGTAAACCAGAATATATTTTATACATACTAACTTGTACAATAGCAGACTGCAGACTGTTGTCTAGTCGCAATTGTTCTCAAGTTCGAATCGGTTTTCGTTTAATATCTCAGTGATAACATGGAGTCATGGTGCCTAGCATGGCCCCCGATATTATACATATAGGTTAGGCTTACGACTCACTCCCTATTACATGGGATTCAATTCATAACTGATTCTTTAAAAATATGCAAATGTGTGTTAGCGCCATCTAGGACGTCTTACTAGAAGCAACAAAACAGTGTGTAAGAGTCAAACTAAAGTTAGTACTACCGTGTGAGTATAGATGGCGTAATATGGCTTCTACTCGTATACTTGTACTTGTAGGAATAAAATATTATTGTGACTTTTCTCATTTTAGTAATCTTATAAGTATTTATGTAACTCATACAGAATATTAATAAAACAAAAACAATAATTAAAAAGTCTTTATTTCAATATTTACACAGAAGAATTATTTTTATAAAATAATAAAAAATAAACAATTACTGCTACGATTGCCTAAAACATATTTTAATTTCATTTTATATATTTTTAATCTTATAAAATAGGTCGAAAACCTTTTTAACCTGAAAAAATCGATAATACTGTATAATATATTTCGGACGCAAATAATAAAATCTTATCCGGCTATAAAATAATTATTTCATATTTTAACGCCTAATAAAAATACTATTTATATCTTTTATCACAATATAATTCCAGTAGGCTTCCCTCAAATATGAGTATCGAGGATAGCATTCTGAAATTATAATCTTATATAGGTTTATATTATATAAAAAATAATCAGAATATTATATTATATAATTCCCTGTACTTATACTTTATCTTAAAAATAAGTAACCTTAAATAAGTGTTTTGATTTTTTCATAAATAAATGCAATATAGAAAATGTTTTCAGTTGAATGAACGAGTAAACGAACCTACGTTTGTATTTTTACATACAAATAAATGAGTATTTATCAGTCTAAAACTTAGCATTGATACGAATTGTAAAAATATAAGTACACATTGTTTAAACTTATATTTACTATACATAACTAATTGCATAAACCATTTTTCTACCATTCAAAATAACTGCTATAAAAATATCAAAAATCGCTTCGAATGACAAAAAAATTACATTGATATCAAATCTCATCAACGGTGCACAAACCTAGACTTATTACACTACCCATTATGAGTACGAGAAGCGTTTGTTACTTTTTGCATAGTATCATCCCTAAATCTATTTAAAGCATCTACTGTTGTCTGTAATATGCCAAGACCAAGTCTGAACTTAAAGTCTACTAATCTTTGTAGGAAGTTTAAAAATCCCCCTTGTTGGTTTAAAGGTGGATAAGTAACAATTTCTGGGTCATTCCACGGCCTTGAAGTAGTCGCTGGCTTGTCAGTTGAAACTGGAACTGTTGGCATAGTTGATGTTGTTTCAGATTTCAAATCTGTTGTGGTCTCAGTCATCATGCTTTGGACAGTTGTTGTAGGTGAGTTTATAGGACTGTTGCGTTCAGTTACTTCAGTATTGCTTGATGGAAATACTTCATATACTTTAAAAGTTTTAGTTGTGGTTTCCATTTCGTTAGGCATTTCTGGCTCTGTTGTTTTGTCATTTTTACTATTCACTGGAATCGTTGACACACTCTCAACAATCTCGATCTTATCAGTAGTAGCTTCATTTAGTTTACTGTCTTTTTCAGAGTCTGATACAGCAAAAACTTCGGTGACATCTTTAGGAAAGACTGTGGTACCATCTACATCATTAGCAGCAAGGTTTCGGACAGGGTTATTAATATTGTAAATGTCATCAATCTCATTACTAATGAAGACGTCTCTGTTTCCTTTCTCTGCTAACAGCTCTTCCAGTGAACCTGAAATACTACGTTTTTTTCTTAGATTTCTAGGACCATGTTCTGGTACAACTGCAGGTGTAGCTGAGTCTACTAGTTCCTTCGGAACATTTCCAACTACGAATTTGTTCTCGCTAGATGATTCAGAATTAGCTTCACTGCCACTAGTATTGTCGTCATATTTTTCTTCCTGATTTTCCGAATCATTATTAGATCCTAAGTACATAGAAGTTGGAGGATAAGTCACTGAACTACTAGTAGTTTCGCTAAAAAACTGACCTTCGAATGGATATACAGGTTTGAAATCAGATTCAGCTGCTGGTTTTACACCGTAGACAACTGAGTTGGAATTTTCATTCCCATAACCTGAAACGCCTGTGGGGCCAGTTTGTGGTGCAGCATATATAGGTTCTACGGCTGGGTATGGAGTATAGTTTGGTTGCTGGGGTTTCTCATAATTGTATTTTCCCTCTGTTGTATACGCGTGTCTAGTTTCATAATGAGGACTATAACTGAGTGGCTTTGAGTATACCGCAGCATGAGCTATTCCTGTTTTTTGTTGAGCGTAATGTACTTTACCATAATTAGGGTTAGGTTTGTAGCCAGTGGCAACTTGTCTATATCTAATGTCTTGTTCCTTTTTCACTGGATAACGACTTGTGTACGCAGTTTGTCCGGCATAGGGGTTCAACTTTTGTTTGGCGTGGGCGGGCATCCCAGCTAAGACAGTTCCCAGCATTTCTTCTTCGGCTTGTCCATTGCCATCATTTGCGTATTCCTCAGCGTTGTTTCTGTAAATGTCATCATTCTTGTCTACTTCAAATGTTCTTCGTACTGGAGTTGCAAATGGATATAAGAAGTAACCAGCAATTCCAACTAAACTAGCCAAACCCAACATACCTACTCCCACAGATGGCATTACCTCTCTAGACAAGTAATTGTAGATTTGTGTTGTAATAGCTCCAGTTGGTGCTGCAGCCGGTTTTTTAGCATTCTTATTCGATTTAGTTTTGTTTGATGTTTTGACGTCGGAAATAGCGACTTCAGTACTGGGTTTCGATGTCGAGGTTTTGCGTTTCTTAGTCTTGTTCTTCTTCCTAGTTGAACTTCTTTTAGGTTTCTTCGTCGTAGCTGCTGGCGTGCTTACTTCTAATTCAATTTCTTGTTCTTTAGCTTCTGTAGGAAGTAATGCGGAGTCACTGATAACGGGAGGTGCTAAGGTAGTAGTAGTTTTCTGTTTGTTCTTGTTTTTCTTCTTGGGCTTTGAGGTCACTGTTATGACTGGTGTTACAATAGGAATTTTAGTTTCCTTTTTCGTTGTTGGTGCTTCAGTAGTGGTTGTAGTAGTTGTCGTTGTGGTTGTAGTTGTTGTGGCCGGACGAATTGAAGTATTCTTATTTTTCTGCACATTAGACAACACGGTATCCTTGATTTTATTGTAGACATTCTCGTTGATAGCTGATCCACTGGCAACCAAGTCAGCTTTGTTTGTACTGCCAATAATAGGACGTTTGGCTATTTTATTATTCTGAGGACGTTTAGGTTTGTTCTTTGAAACAGCAGGCTTAGGTTTCTTCGTAATTTCTTCTACTTTAGGCGACTCAGTAGTAACGTTGTCCTTGGCTGAATTACTCAATGAGATCCAAGTGGAAATACCTTCATTGGACGTCGAAGATTCACTAGGCTCGTTTATTTTGTTCTCTGTATCCAATTCTTCGATTGTGACAGGAACTGCAACGCCAGGATGAGCATTTTCGAACTCTTCACCATTTTCATTTCTCGTTTTTATTCTATGTTTGACTTGGGTCTTTAGTTTGGGCGGTATTCTGGTGTCAGCTATAACTGGGGTCTCAGCTGTAGTATTGGGTTTGTCGAGAAGTTGAATAGCGACCATTTCCATGGATTCTCGAATCGGTGTCTTTGTCTTGACATCTCGGGAAGAGCTCTCGGGAACTGGTGTGGCTGTCTGACGAGTCTGAGCTGCGTCGGCATTAGTCTGATGTGTCCTGAAAAGATATAAAATAATTGCGTTAGTGAAATAAAAACCTACGAGGGAAGACAATAAAGTGTAGTTTTACACTGAAACGTTGCATATTTGAGACTGCTACATTATTTTTTCACAACAACATTTATTAAAAAGTGTATCAATATAATAAATGATTATATTATTATACTGTACTAATATGAGACCCATAACAGTTAAACACCTAGATTTTAATTTAGATTAAAAAAAAATAATTATGTGTCCTTATGACAATGATAACTAATGTAGGGTAAATATAAATATATCAATAATTAAATAGTTTCGTGATCGATTTCAAATGTTTTCATTCAATTTTCTCCATTCCATTCCAATCTAAATAATAAATAAAAATACCCTTGAGAACTTTGTGTAAGATCTAACAAGTTAATATGAACACTCTTGTGTCATAATTTACAAATCCATTGTTATCACATAGGCAATTAATTATAATTGTTATAAGTACCTACACTACACTGTAGTGACTACAGTTTACTATATTTCTATGTTTTATAAACTTCACCGAAGTGAAGTTGTCAAAAATGTTATAGACTCATTTGAGTGTTACCCTCCACGGAAATCTTTAGTAAAAGGCGAAAGATTTATGCGTTTTGAAGGGAGACCAGAGTTACATTCACTGTGTATTCTGGCGGACCCAACCAAACCGCGGAGAATCTTAACACCGCGATTCAGAAAATGACGTCACAGCACACCGCCATCTGTTAATAACAGTTTGAACTAAGAATAAAAAAACAGCTGCCAATTTCATAAAGACTAGCCCATGCCATCAATGCGACGAGTTCGAGCTTGTAACAATGCAATCTACACCCCTCTTGTTACGGATACAAATCTAACAATGCACACGAAGGTAAAAACTGGATCTCCAGTGCAATGAAATGTCTTGACACGGGCTTTTAGGAAGATGTTATAATAATTCTATTTTTACTATTTTCTAATTTTGCAGTCGTTACCTCAGTGAAGTAAGGTTACAAAATGTACTGCTAATTAAATTATTGATTTTGTTTATTACGTTTTGTCTGGAAAATGTAAGTTTACACAACTGGCGATCTTATCACGCAAGCTGACTTTTAACTGTCAATAATTAATTACCTCTACATGATTTCACATCGACAGTTCTTGGCCTCATTGAAATAAATTACCGGGAAAAAAATACTGAAGTCATCCCCTAAACATGACTAGCAAAATAGAGTTTAGATCAAATATGTTGTTTTTCTTATAAAGATTGTTATTGCACTTGATCATACGTTTAATATAAACGATTTAAGTGAGCGACAACGATGTGCAACTCAGTTACAGATTTTTTAGTATTATAAACTCCACCGAAGTGAAGTTGTCAAAAATTTTATAGACTCATTTGAGTGTTCCCCTCCACGGAAATCTTTAGTAAAAGGCGAAAGATTTATGCGTTTTGAAGGGAATCTAGAGTTACATTCGCTGTGTATTCTGGCGGACCCAACCAAACCGCGGAGAATCTTAACACCGCGATTCAGAAAATGACGTCACAGCATACCGCCATCTGCTAATAACAATTTGAACTAAGAATAAAAAAATAGCTGCCAATTTCATAAAGACTGGCCCATGCCATCAATGCGGCGAGTTTAAACGTGTAACAATGCAATCTACACCCCTCTTGTTACGAATACAAATCTAACAATGCACACGAAGGTAAAAACTGGATCTCCAGTCGAATGAAGTGTCTTGAGACGGACTTTGAGGAAGATATTGTAATAATTATATTTTTTACTATTTTCTCATTTTTCAGTCATTACCTAAGGTTACAAAATGTACTGCTAATTAAATTATCGATTTTATGTATTACATTTTGTATGGCAAATACAAATTTGTAGGTACAACGGGCCATATTATCAAACAAGTTTACTTCTAATTGCGAGTAAATTAGTATATGATATTACATCGACCGTTCTTGGCCTAATTGAAATAGATTACCGAAAAATAAATACTGAAGACATCTCCTGAACATGACTAGCAAAATAGGGCTTAGATCAAATTATATTGTTTTTCTTATGATTTTTTTATGGAATGGCGGTAAACGAGCACATGGATCACCTGATGGTATGCAATTGGCGCTGCCCATAGACACCTGAAACACCAGAGGCATTACAGGTGCGTTACCGGCATTTTGGAAATTAAGAATTTAAGGATTGTAGGGGATTCGGGGATTGGGGAGACTAGAGAGGAATGGGAGTAATTGGACTTCTGGTAACCAAAGTCACACGACGACACACAATGCAAGCGTTGTTTCACGTCGGTGTTCTGTGAACCCATGGACTCACTCCGTTCAGGCCGACCCATTCGTGCCGAAGCATAGCGCTCCCATACTTAATGAAGAATATTATTGTATTGAATCAAACGTTGAATGTGCATTGTCAACGATTTAAGTGAACTACAAGGATGTGCAACTCAGTTGTATATTAAAGTTAACTACAGATTTTTAAGTATTATAAACTTCACCGAAGTGAAGTTGTCAAAAATGTTATAGACTCATTTGAGCGTTACCCTCCACGGAAATCTTTAGTAAAAGGCGAAAGATTTATGCGTTTTGAAGGGAAACCAGAGTTACATTCGCTGTGTACTCTGGTTGACCCAACCAAACCGCGGAGAATCTTAACACCGCGATTCAGAATATGACGTCACAGCACATCGCCATCTGTTGTTTGGATACAGAACTTCTTGTTTAGTTCTGTCTGTTAATCAATACCATGATGATTTTTTATTGATCAAGAAGACCAATCTTCTTATTTAAATAAAAAATACTAAAATAAAAGATACAACATTTCGGCTATGCATATTTTTATTGGAGAACATTATGAAATAAATAATTTGTTTACTTTAATTGTTGTTTCTATTTTTGTACACATTCCTATGACATAAATTACTTAAAATAAGTTATATGTACACATGTTAATAAATACTAAAGTAAGAATTAGATTAATATGTTCAGGAAACAATGTTTCATAAGTTTTTGAAGGGATTAAAATTATTATAAGAAACTTAAAATTAAACTTAAAACTATTTGAGCAGAAAGCAATTTAAATACTAATTATTATACGAATTAAAATAAATACGTACTAAAATATAAGTTAGTGTCCTAAAATTAATTACAGAAAATAATACTGTTAATCGTCCAAAGTTGATAAATAGCGCCATCTAGGAGGTTAAGTATGACTTATTTAAATATTGATTCAACATTATCGATGACGTATCAATTTATTTTAAAGATAATAATTAGCCTATATATAATCTTGTAACGTACCTATTGAGGTACTGTACTATATTAGATCTATTTTTTTTTTAATTTACAAAATTGTCGAATGTGCTATAAACCTTTAATGATAATTCGTTAAGTTTCATTTTTGTTAGAAAAATCTTATAACATCTAAAGCCATTAGTTAAATTCATTGCACATTTAAATAACGATTAGTAAAAGTTTCAACCGGAATCAAGTATAAATCATCAGTACTTATACTTTCAAATGTAAATCTTGATATGAAGAATATAATGAATATCTTGACAATATCTAATTCATTAGTTTATTATATTGGTGTATTATTTTTTTACTGAACAAGTCTTACGATTTCTATGGTATAATTTTTTTTTGGTTGTGAATTACATATCAGTTAAAACACATAATATTTATAAATGTCTCACTGCATATTCTCAGTAGTAGCACGGAGTCTGGAATTGTGCCCGGTATATGGCAATAGGCTCACCCCCTATTACATGGGACTCATAACATAAATAGTGAAAAGTGGGTGTTACATTGTACAGTGGTATAATGTGCACCTCTGAATACCCCTTCTGGGATAAAAAGGCGTGATGTTATGTTATGTCTCACTGCATAATTGTCTCAAATAATTTTCTGTTACTAGAAAAAATGTCACGAGTAGCAAAAGTTTAACAAATATTAACCTTTTGTGTTCACTATTATGTCATAATGGTCTAATTACATTTAAAACTGTTTGTAAAAAAAGTTATTCACAAATATTATACATATTTTTATGAAACCTTAAGCCGCCTTGTCCAAACGTCCCTTTTCTTTCTTTTAGTTTTTCTACCATTTGAAACTATTTGGCGATTATGATTCTCTCTCAATCTATTTGTAACATTCTTCATCCATTCTTTTACTCTAGAAAATAATGAAGTCTTATTATCTCGTATCTTCTCATTTCCCTTATTTTCTCTTGCTTCGCTCATATCAGGAACCAATCTCCTATTATTGGGGAAAGAATGTAATTGCCAAGTTTTCAAATCATTATCCCACCGCCACTCAGGCTTATAAACATGAATAACTTTTGGAGCTTCCCTAGCGTACGGTAAAAACCATGGAGCAAATAATGCAGCGAAACCTGAGCCCGCAAACAATAATCCTAAAGGCGCTAAAATTAATGGAAACAGCCCTATGCTTAATGGATTGATAGTTGCTAACCAACCTAAGGCATCTAAAGCTGGTCGGAAGAAATCTACTACTGATGAAAAACTAAATATGTCATCATCAGAATCTCCTCCACCACCTGGTGCAATAATAGCAGAACTTGGCGATGAAGCAGCTCCAAAACTTGATTCAGAAGATTCTGGCTTGATGACACTATTTGCAGAGTGATAATTTGCTAATTCTGTCCCTTCAACTGAAGCACTCTCAGCATTACCATCTTGGTTCTCATCAGACTCGAAATAATCTTCATCTTTTGATGAATCTGTACCTGAGTCGTCACCTAAACCTAAACCAAAGCCCCCGGGAAATAAACTATCGCTCTCCTCTTCTGATTCTATAACAACATTCTTATTAATAACATTCGTGTTTACGGCAATGTTTAAATCTGGACAAGCTTCTTTAGCCTGACCTTGAAAGGTATTATTTAAAGTTAGGTAAATAGTGGGACAATCTTCAGCATGTGGGCTGTATTCTTCTGGTCTTATAACAATTCTATCTGTATAGGAATTAGTCGGTTCAAATGTAGACACTTCATAATTATTTCCACCATAATTTTGAACATGATTATTGTATTCGTAATTTGTTGGTCGTGTATTGTAATATGGCCTTTGTGTTGTTGTTTTACGAGTCACCTGTTGAGTCCATGGTTTTGGGTAGCCTAAGTTTGTTATGATTGGTGTGGGTGTTGGAATGTTTGTGTGATAGTATGGAGGTCTCGTGGGACGAGGGCGTGGAGTATTAATTACTTGAATGTTTGGGGTATACACAACGTGATGTGTTTCATCCGGGTAGGGATACTGTGGTCTTGGGTTGTTATTGTACATCATGTTGTTATTATCATCATAATAGGGATTATCATACATATCATTGGGAGGCCTTGTATATCGTTTGGCGTTCATTTCACTAGAATTTTCTGTGCTCGTGTCATCTTTTAGACTATTACTAATGAGTTTGGTTGTACCTTTAATATCAGGGTCTAAAGTACTAGTTTCATAAGAAAAGTTTAAGTCGTTTAGTTTAGTTTTGTCTCTCCATTTAGTTATAACTTTCCTGATTGCTGGTTTCTTTCTATCGTGAGATTCTCCTTCGACTCTATTGACGGGTTTTGGTTTGAATTTCTTTTTACGTTCTTCAGAACCTGTGCGTATTAGACGACTTGTTCTATTTCGAGCAGACTTAATGATATTTGAATTGGTGTTGTTGCCTTCGCTATAATTATTTAAATTACTAGATACATTATTAACGTGGCGTTCGTCTGATTCAGTGCTATTAACAAAACTAATGACTTTAGATGCTAACTTAAAACTATTTGAACTTAAATTAATACTTTTATACCTTATTGGTGCATTTGTCGATTTTTCATTCTGTGCCGTAATTGTAGTAGAAGGGGAAACTTCATCTTGAGGTCGCGAATAAACAGACGGACAAACTATAACTACTAATAAAACTAAAGTCCACTTCGAACACACACTTTTTCGCCTCGTCATGATGTTTTTCGCGTACTCTACCTGTAAAAAAGAGAGGTTATAGTTAGAAAATGATAATTAGATAGAATAACAATGTAAGTGTATGTGGTTACCACGGTAAAATGGTGAAAGTGTTACTTTGAAGAGTAAATAATGATGTGTTTATTATTACTCAAACAAAGTATAGCCTACGTGAGGAGAAGACAGGTCATTGTATTGTATGATTTTAGTTGTATCTATATAGTAACTAGAATAATAAAAAACATGGACGTTATCCTATCCATCCATCTGTATCTACACTAATATTATAAACAGGAAAGATTTGATTTTTTGTTTGTTTGTTTGAATTGAATAGGCTTCGAAACTACCGGACTGATTTGAAAAATTCTTTTGCTATTGGAATCCTAGATTATTATATCCATGATGAATATAGACTGTATATAATAAAAAAAGGAGCCGTGTGAAAATATCGATAAGGCAATCCGATCTGTGAAAAAAGTTTCTTATATTCTTTCCTCTATATTACGCTAATAGGAAATAAGTATTGTTTTCTTTGAAATCTAATTTCGGTGATAATATTTTTCAGTAATGGTATTATTCTTTAGCTCTGATATTTCAAAGATATATATATATATATATTTTATAGAGATAATTTTCATTATTTTCAAAAACTAACAAAAAATGATGCATTAGCTACAACAATAACAAAAAAACTGTTCACCATTTTCACCATAACCTACATAAAGGACCCAAAACAAGTCGAACCAAAACAGAATCTAGTGACCCAAATACAACATTCCAATTCCGATTCAAAATAAAAATATAAAACTAGAAAAACTGGTGGAACATAGTAAAAGATGTAAAAAAACGATCCGTTAACCCATCATTAAGAGGATACCGTTAAGCTTGACCGTAATATCGGTCAAGGCTATTTGTTTAGGCTTCGTAGGTAATGTTAAAAAACTGTTGATGAGGTGCTAGGTATTAAAAATCAGGAATTATGTGATATAAAATGGACTTAGGTACTAATCAATTTATTAATATATTATATATAAGTATTAATTTTTCATACTTAAAAATTTATAAACCAAGGATGTACGCGTTTGGTTACGGTAAGATTTAATTTTGAAGATTAATTGTAAAAAATAATTACTAATAAATTGCACACTGCTAGGACAAGAGGAGTAGAAGTTGCTCGTGGTGGCCCGGAGGTTTAAAAGCCTACTTCTCATCCATGAGCCAACCAACCTACCAACGACAAGTAAGTACCAATTTGACTTTTTCCGAGTTATATGTACTTTCTAAGATTATTCAGACACCACTGACAAACGGTGAAGGAAAACATCGTGAGGACACCTAAGCTTATAAATTTCTAATTATAAGTTTGAAATCACCAACCCGCATTGAGCGAGCGTGGTGATTAATGCTTTAATCTTCTCCGTGTGAGAAGAGGCTTTGCTCAGCAGTGAGCATTTATAGGCTGTTGATGATGGGTAGAAGTTGGAAGTATTTTATAAACATATGTACTTAACATATGAAAAGTCATATAGGAAAGCTTAAGAAGGTCTTTGTCATCATATTATTTGTCTTTCACCCCTTATAAGGTCAGCACTGAATCAACAATCAAATAAAACCACATAACAAATTGAATATTGTAAACAAAACATGAGGTTTGAAACCACAAATATGTGTTAGAGTTCTTTCACCTACAAATGTGTGGTTCCTGTTCAATTACATACTAACAAAGACAAAGGCTAAAACATTCAATGTTTTGTGATTTTGAAGATCTTTGAGCGTGTATTTATTTCGTCTGTTGCCCTGTGTGTTGAGTGGTCATACACCCATTAATTCTGAATTATGTTCTAAGTCTTGGATTCCACGAAAGCATTAGCTTTCAAATTCTGTTAGACCTTCAATTCAAATTACAAGGAATTTGAAACTGGCAAAAAGTGGATGTCACATTTAGTTTTATATTTATTATTTTTTACTTCTATTATGAAACAAAAAACGTTTGATTTGATGCCTATATTTACCCTATTGTAAAACACATGAAGTTATCTATACTAATATACTAATTATACTAATACTAGTATACTAATAATATTATAAAGCTAAAGAGTTTGTTTCTTGTTTGTTTGTTTGAACGCGCTAATCTCCGAAAATACTGGTCCGATTTGAAAAATTATTTCTGTTTCGGATAGTCCATTAATCGAGGAAGGCTATAGGCTATATAACATCACGCTACGATTAATAGGCGCTGAGCAGAGCGAGTGAAACCGCGCGGAAGTAGCTAGTGTTAATATATTTACATACGTTTTTCTGACCTGGCTAAGATTTAAGGAAAATAGTAATTCTTCGAATTCTACTTTCTACGCATTAGTCATTTTATTAATGTCTTGACTCAAACAAGCTTAGAACCTTGTTGATGACTGAATGATAGATATTAGTTTAATATTACGGCTGGTGTTAGTCCAGTTCGTCAATACCATTCAGAGGTGAAAGGTTTCGATATCTGGGTCGAACAAAGTTTATAAAGAACCGATTAAAATTCTTAGCTCTGACTGCCTCATTGGCCAAGTGGTCGCAAGTGCGACTGCCGGGCAAGGGGTCTCGGGTACGATTCCCGGGTCGGCAGAGTATTGTTGGGTTTGTAAAAACCTCAGTAGTAGCATGGAATCTGGAAATGTGCCCGGTATATGGCAATAGGCTCACCCCCTATTACATGGGACTCATAACATAAATAGTGAAAAGTGGGTGTTACATGTACAGTGGCAAGTGCCGTAATGTGCACCTCTGCCTACCCTTTCGGAGATAAAAGACGTGATGTTATGTTATGTGACTATCATGACTGCTTGTATGATGAGAGATGAGTTTTTTGCTACCGGCATGAATCCAAAAATCCAACAAATATTACACAAATCATCACTTAATCAGAGAATGAACACCACGAACCCCCTTTTGCCTGCGACCACTCAACAAACGAGTCTTCAATTCAAATTGCAATCAGGGATGTAATATAGAAACCAGTTACACGTCCATATTATAGTTATCTTTATGTCTTCCGGAGTACATAGACTTAATATGCGTGTATTTTATGGAATTTTTATGTGCGTACAGTATCAGCTACCTTACGGTACATTTCTATGTGTCTTATGATGACGTCAGTTATATACCCACGTTAAGCACGTAGGCACTAATATTTGTACCTACTAACAAGCAAAAATAAGCCTAAATGGATGTTTCAATATTTGGTAAATAGGTCTGATTTTTTTGGTCTGGTAATGTATTATTGATTATAACAATTATGACTGCCTCGTTGACCAAGCGGTCGCAAGTGCGACTGCCGGGCAAGGGGTCTCGGGTTCGATTCCCGGGTCGGGCAAAGTATTACTGGGTTTTTTAAAATCTCAGTAGTAGCACGGAGTCTGAAAATGTGCCCGGTATATGGCAATAGGCTCACCCCCTATTACATGGGACTCATAACATAAATAGTGAAAAGTGGGTGTTACATTGTACAGTAGCATAATGTGCACCTCTGCCTACCCCTTCGGGGATAAAAGGCGTGATGTTATGTGTTAACAAACAAAATAAGCCTAAATGGATGTTTCAATAGTTGGCAAATACTTAAGCCAGAATTTTTTACTAACAGGATTTTAAAGCAAAAATAGGGTAGATATTCAATGTCCGTCTGGTAGATTATTTAAATACATTAGACACGAATTTTTTTTTTTACAGAAACTAATAGTTTTGAAGATATATTAATTTGGAATGTCGCGTGACGTCACTTCTATGTACATTTTATACGTAGAAATGACGTTTAAGCCCCCACTCCTAAACTTTGATTCGTTATATCTAAGTATCATTTTATTACACTTACAAAAAATTATACGTGTGTAAAATTTTTTTATTACCTAACTGGCGGACTATTCTATTCGAATCTACATTTTGGAATGAGTACCTAGCCTCACCATGTTCACTGACGGACTGACTGACAGACTATTATTTATTTATTTTGTATTTGTTGATGTTTCAAAAGTACCAAATTATGGTTTAATTGAAATTAATGCTTTGAGTTTCAAGTCAGTAATTAAACGGTAATTTCCTTTGATTATCAATAAAATATTAAACGGCATGAAAGTAGATAGGTTAATCTAAGCATGTCTTTAACCACAATTTACTGCAAACTATAATAAATGTCGGTTTAATGATTTAGTCGCTATTTCTGGATAGCAGTTGAAATTAATTGAAATGTACGTCTTAATCATGTTCATTAAACGAATATTTTTAATGAGTGGTCCTACTAGGTTGGTTTTCTCGAGAGAAGCTCAAGTTACACCGAGATTCCGTCTTGTAAGGAATATTTATTTATTTTTTCTTTTATGTACAAAATTTTATTATGGCACATAAGACGAACTTAATGCCATATGCCATTCTCTACCAGTCAACCTTAGGGTTTAAGTAGAAAATCTGCGATAATTAAGGTAATATTCTATGACACCATCACCCCGCAAATTACTAATCTTTACTATTCTTTTACTCGAAAACCTCATGCACTTAAAAAACAAGTTTACGCTACATACCACTTTAAGGTCAATGACCATACGACCATGACCGACTAGTTTCGTCCACCAGATCGACTGGCCTAGTTGTGGTATACGAAGTTCCCGTTTATCTTCATACGTTTAAAGTTTAATGTCGCATTAGCATTTTTAATGGATGCATAAAAAGGCTTAAATACGGAATTAATAAATTATATTTTTTAAAGTTTTGCATAAATATTGTAAGGTTTTTTGCAATAATTTATATGTTACCTATTAAATACGTTATATATATTGTTGCGTGTGATAAAAATATTATATTAAGGACCATTTTTTCCACGCTCAGATCAATTTTTAACTGAGAAATATCTTTCAACATTTCACAATTCTTCCATACTAGAAACTGTCAAATGTCAATTTTATTCTACAGTTATGAATTAACTGAGCATTGAAAAACCGACCCTAAACAACTTATTATTTGTCTTTGTTTTTCTGGCTTTTCGA